CTCAGTTTTTGTCAGCATTCAAAAGTCTCTCATGGTTTGCCTCTCTCCCTTTCCCCCACCATTTCCGCCCTTCTTCTCCCCCTTGTTCCTCCGTCAAGTTCCTCCTAATCCTCCTATACGTGCAAACATACAGATGAATGGATCAAGAAGATGTGGTTTATCTATACCATGGAATACTACATGGCAATGAGAAACAATGAAATCTGGCCATGTGTAGCTACATGGATGGACCTTGAGGGTGTTATGCTGAGCGAAATAAGTCAGGCAGAGAAGGACAAATATCATATGTGTGCACGTATAGGAGGACTAGGAGGAACTTAAGAGAGGACCAATCGGGAGAAGAAGGGGGGAAATGGTGGGGGAAAGGGAGAGAGGCAAACCATGAGAGACTCTTGAATGCTGACAAAAACTGAGGACTGATGGATGTGGGGGGGAGGGGGGGATGGGCATGGAGGAGGGCACTTGTGGGGATGAGCACTGGGTGTTATGTGGAAACTAATTTGACAATAAACTATTTGTAAAAAAAAAAAAAAGTAATAATGTTCTCTATGAGAAAAAAAATAATGCTTTTATTTCCTCCAAAATTAATCCAATTAATATTGCTGAATAATTTCAAGACCACATGTGTATATATGTGTGTACTTCATTTTATTAGCATTGTATATTGCTTGTGTTATGTTCTCCCTTCTATTCACAGGGATATATTGCCTTTTTAAGGTTTAACCTTTAATGCGGATTTTGAATATGGCTGAAGTTTCACAAAGTAAGGATCAGTTCAAGGATTTTTTTCTCCAAAAGCATTGATATGAGTTCTATGACTTAATTTCACTTTGATGGATTTGCAGATGACAGTCCATGATAGTGATGCCAGTGGAAAACAAAGGACAACCAAATATGAGAACGACTCTGGAACTTTACAGGGTGTTTTCAGGGTCTGCATCAGAATTCTACAGAAGAACTGAGCCTTAAGTTGGCAGTGAAATGAGAATGGAAAGTTAAGAGTTAGTGTGTCAGTGACTTTCAATTGGTATTTTTTCTTTTCTGTTATGTATTAAAAATTACATAAAAATTAGAAGGAGAGGAATGGTTAAAAAAAATAACCTGTCATGATAAAGACATTCAGCATTTACCTAGACTCACAGATGCATTGAATGAGAAGAACTGGGTTGTGAGAGCTAAACTTATTCCAACTCCCTCATTTTATAGAAACTTAGAGGCTCGAAGAGGGAGTGGAATCTCCAAGGCTCAGACAGTGAATCATGATGAAGGGCAGGCTCCTTGGATTCTATGAACAAGGTGGTAATGAAGCATTAAGTGCCACTTTACCTAAGAATGTGCAGCTTAATCACAGAGTTTGGGGGTCTGGTTTCTCCTTTGTTTCCTTTTTATATCCTTGTGGGCTGCATTCAGTCAGTTGCTTTCTAGAATGGAATTTCCAATAAATATATTGTCTTTAGCCCTTAATTTTTGAATTGTAGATTGAATTTTTAAGTTGAGAAGAATATTGAATTTCAGAAAGTTAACGGAGTGTTGTTAAAGGAAATCAAAATAATTAGAATGCCGATTTCCCTGAGTATTCCCTGTGCACTTCAGGGGTCAAAAGAGTATTTTAAAGTGATTTCAAAATGTAAAATTGTTAACTGTGGTATATAACCTATACCATGCTGTGGCATGGAATTAACATATGGAGAGTGCTTGGAAATTGGTACCATTCTAAATCTTTAAAAATTGATCTTTTTATTGTATTAACTGTCCTTTAAAAAGTTTCTCAGTAGTATTCACAACAAAAAGTTCTTTTTTGTCATATATTTTCTACAGCCCACTTAAGATTTCTATCAAAGCCTACAGGGTTGTTTTCATACATCTTCTACCTCTGTAACTATTTGTCACAGTAAAAATGAAAGGACTTTTGGCTTAACCTTGATCCACAAGCCAAGATTTTTTATTTTCTCCCATTCATACATATTGGTGAACAGATGTGTGACAATGACTTCATGGGGCTTTCAGTAGGGCCCAAATATTCAAACTCTATTTAACTCTACTATCAGGCCCAGATGTGGGTCCTTTAAGACTCAACGGAGTAGCAACTAAGGCATTGATATTTCAGGAAAATGAGGTATGCTTTTTTTTTTAACTAATTGAACACACCAAAGAAGGAAAAGGAGAGATGTTTTGTATTACAACTTTTGAGAAATATTCAGAGAACTCTAGGATGTGGCTGAAATCCTTCCCATCAGGCAGAGCTTCTTGAGTTACCATACCTTTCACTATAAATACATTTTTTAAGTGATGGCAATAATTCTGTGACTATACTGCCCAATTCCCCATAGCACCAGCACTGAATATATTAAAAAAGAAGTGAAAATGTCTGTCTTATTGCTTCTGGCATAACCCCTAGATCTCTTTTATTTCTATACTCCGTCAAATATAAGGCAGAATATTGAGACAAATTCTATCTCTAAATACTAACAAGAAATTCAGGCATAGGTCGGAGATGATCAAGGTGGATTTTGCCACAGCATTGTGCTAATTTTGTTATAAACAGGCATGCCACACGCCTAAAGGATGTAATTTAGAGGAAATGGTGTCCTGTCTAGTCTCTAGGAACTAGAACAAGGAGCAGAAGTCTAGAGGACTGAGAGAAGGAGATTCTGGATAAATCATAGAATTTTCTCCTAATTACAGATGTGTAACAGGGAACTAACTGTCAATGGAAGGCTGTAATCTGTCTAAAGACAGCTAAGCCATAGTTATGTCTTTCATGTACATTTGTTCAAGCACAGACTGGTTGATCATTGATCAGAGATGCTACAGAAGAAGAGTCTTGCCCCAACCTTGAGAGTTAACAAGATCACTTTCTGCTCTAAAACCTACAATTTTAATTTAATCACTCACTCCAGCCACGATTAAGACTGACCTCAAATAGTTCCAACTCCATTCACGTGATCACACAATCTTTACACACACTCAATCAACAGACCTTGAGTGACTGTCTGGACACCATTCCAAGGCTGGCATAGAACAGGGAATAAGAAAGGCAACATAGTCTCTGCCATTGTGGAGCCTGTGTTTTTTGGGAAGTAGTTCATCTAAATATAAATAGACACAGAAGATAAGTGTTACTTTTATTATCCCATTACTGTTCTTGAAAAACTAGTAGGCTCTGTGAAGGAACTAAAATAAGGTAATGTGATAAATGAGGACTAGATTAGGCTACCAAGATAATCAGGAAAAAATATTTTTAAGGAGTGAGTGCCAAAGAACAGAAAGGAGTCATTATTGGAAAACTTTTCTGGCAATAATCCAGAAAAATGAACATGGCATGATCAAAGCCCCTGAGGTAGGGTCAAGCTTAACCACAACCAAGGAACAAAAAGAAGCTAAAAGGTTAGGTCCGGAGATAGTCATAAAAATTTACACCAGCTGGTCCTTAACTTCAACTATACATGGGATATTTCTTGCAATGAGTTAGACATGTATATCATCCAAAAAAAAATTGTTGATCTGAAATTACATTGGAAATTCTGAGACTCTTGACAAGGGCACACAACCTTATTAAAGATCACAGCCATCATCATTTTCAAAAGCTTCACTTTGGCGATCACCAGCAGACATTTAACAGGGGTGTTTAATATCCTCCCTAAAAAGACTGGGCCGGGAAGAACAAACATTCTAGCATGTCTGCAATGTGAGCCTAGCATCTCACAATTGAAAACTGGCTGGAGCTTACCCTGCTGGCTGCTTTGCCAGCAGTCCAGCATTTAAAGTCTTGAATTCCTGTCCGTTCATCTGTAGTTGTGTTTATGTCTCTCACTTAAGCAGTTTTCAACACACTTCTGTGGTTCTTTTGATATAGTGAACGTGCAGGTGTATGTCTGACTATGCCAGGGATTGTGTCCAGATCTAGTCTTTATTGCGAAAACAGACATCTTTGAGTATCTGAATCATTGCATATGCCATATTTACTCTTGTGTAGGTAGGCCAATTTTCCTCCAGCTAAAGATATAACTTAAAATTATTTCTCCCGACTTACTCCTCCACTTTTCCCATTGCTTATGCTAAATAATTCAGCTCACAGTTCCAAAAGTGAATGTGAGTAATCCAACCCATTTGCATTCTTTCAGGGTTAGAGAGAAGGTCAAAGCATGCAGAAAAAGGAGTCTAGATCCAACAGACTTAGACAAAAACCCTGGCTCTCTATCTCAACAGGTCAAACTAACTGCTTCAACTAGACCAAGATTTTATTTTTGTTTTGATCTCATTTTCTGGAACACAATTTGGGGAGACTGGCTAGGCATGGGAGTGAAACATTCAATGGAGCTAGCCTATTTCCAAAGTCTCCTCTAAAGCTCAGGTTTTGAAACCTTTGCAATTATGAATTGGAAATCCATGCGTTACATAATGCATTTCTGGGAAAATGCCCGAGACACATATGCACTCTACAAAAGTCTAATACTAACATTAATCTAATGAATGGTATATTAGAAAAATGATTTGTGTACATCCTAATGGAAAGCATATTTCCTGAGCAAAGCTTGCAGATTAAAATGCAAAAAATAACTCCATCCCCTAAACATAGCTTCCAGCTACCACATCAACCAAGAAGATCAGTTGGTGCATCTTTCCAGAATGCTGAGTGATTGCTCTTCTTTTTGTGGCCCAAGGGAAAGCGTTTTCCAAATCTTGTGCAGGTGTCTAAGAGAGACTACCTAAAAGGAAAGAAACTGAATTCTCCTTTTTGAGCCCCTGGATGACTCTTTTTATATATAAGCTTATTTTTTTTAATACTAGTTCATTTTTCAAATGCAACAAAAAAACCAAGGCCCTGTTTATCCCAGGGGGTTAATTTGGTTAAACTTGATACATCACATTGTGACTGGCTTCATATTTTACTCCAAAAGTCATATCATCTTTTATCTTTAATTTATAGTGATCATCATATTCATTTCTCAACTAAGGCAGGTACTTCAGGGAGAGCTAGCATTGATCTTTAATTTTTTTTCTCTCTTTTTGTAATACGTACTTTTTGACCCTTAAGAAATAGCACTGACAGGAGTTTTGTTTTGTTTTTTGTTTTAAAAAGCAAGAGTTTCAGATTGGGGATTCTTTTTAACCTGCTAAAGACAAAATCAGGGGCACCTGGGTCGCTCAGTAGGTTGAGTGTCCAACTTCGGCTTAGATTATGATCTCATGGTTTGTGGATTTGAGCCCTATGTCCAGCTCTGTGCTAACAGTTTAGAGCCTGGAGCTTGCTTTGGATTCTGTCTCCCTCTCTGTCTGCTCCCTCCTTGTTCATGCTCTGTGCCTGTCTCTTAAAAATAGATAAATGTTCAAAAATAAAATAAAATAAATAAAAGAATCCATTTTTGTCACCCAGTAGGTAACTTGGCTTTAAATAAAATCAGTATCCTACTGTTTTTTGTTTTTTGTTTTTTTTTTTTTTGAGAGAGAGAACTCTAGCAGGGGAGATGGGCAGAGAGAGAGAGAGAATCTTAAGTAGGCTCCACACCCAGTGCGAAGCCTGATGCAGGGCTTGATCTCATAACTTGCAAGGTCATGACCAGAGCGGACATCAAGAGTAGGACACTTAACCACCCAGCTGTCCCTCACCATTTTTATAGTGCATATGTCTTCAGAAGATATGGAGCCTGAACTGAATGTTTCATGTAGCTGACTTCTGATTATTAACAGGTGAGAGTGAGGAGAGGCTCTAAAGAGCGACTTCAGTGACGTAGGAGATGAGAAATTAAACGCTCTTTGCCAAGGACAAATGAATTTCTGGGCAGAACCCAGAGTCAAGGCCAACAGATTCATAATTGCATTTTAAGGAATCTACATCCCCCCTAATTGTCCTGACAAGCAGCCAAAAGGGATTGCAAATCAAGGTATATACAGAGCTGAGCTGTCCGGCAGCAATAGCAACAATCCCCTTTCTCATGTCACCTGCTGCCAGTAGGGGCCAAGTGCAACTTGAAACCGAGACCCAAGGGATTCAGTCCCTTTGGGGTGGAGCCAGCCAGATCAACGCACACCCATGGTGTATCAGAGCCAGCAGCCAGATTTAGACGTAGAGATTCAAACAGAACTGACCCATGACTCTTCAATTTCTCTCTCATGTTGTGGCCAAGTTGCTCCCCTTGGCTCCTATTTCCTCCACATCCAGTACCTCCTAATACAACCCGCAGTTTTCCTGTTCTTTACCGGTCTTTCTTGGGCCCTGCATATATTTTTGAGTCTGATCATCTGTTCCATTTCATCACCTTCTGAAGAAACATGGATAATGTCCTCTATGATGCCTCAGAATCAAAGGTGCTCTGCGAATGATACCTGTCAAATGTTATTATCATCCTGCACATAGATCTTTGGTCTTGAGTGCATGTTAAGAAATACCATCATTTTTACTGCTTCTGGCATGATTACAAATTAGTGCTCTTCTAAGAAAGCCCTAGAGAGCACAAAAATGAGGATTTTATTAAGAGTCGTTATGATAAGAGATAACTTGATAAAAAAAGATTGAACATTGGAACTGGGGTCCATTAGGAGCTCTGTCCACCAGCTAGCTGCAAATATTCCAGCAAATCACTTAGTTCTCTGGTCTTCAGATTCCTCGTGAAAAACGAGGGGTCTGGAGTAAATGATCTCTGCAATCTCTTCTAGTCCTAAAGCTCCAAGACACAGAAGAGAGAAGGAGCACTATTTCATTAGTGTTCCTGACTCTCTTTATCTAGTAAGAGATCCTTATCACATTACAGCATGATCTCTCTTTCTCAAACTGGATTTCTAGGCCGGTGGTGGAAGGCCCTTACAGGGTTAATTTACTTAGCTTTTGGTTTAGATTCCTCAGGCGCATTGTGTCCAGCCTTAATATTTTACACTGTAAGCCATATCATCTTTTATCTTTTATTTATAGTGATCCTCATATTAATTTCTCAATAGCAGCTGGTGCGGCAGGAGGGACAAGTCATTGATCTTCCAATTTATCCGCTACTCTTACATATCCTGAGGTCGAGGCAGCCTGGAGAGATTGATGGAGCCCTGGCACCCACCCAGCAGCTGTGTGTTCCTCATGCATGAAAATCAACCACAGGAAACCGAAGTTCGACAATTGGCAGCAATATCAGCCACCTCTGTAATAAATATAACAGGGCATTCTTTAATAATTGAATGGGGTGTCAGATTGGGAAATGAAAAACCTCCTGCGTGAGAGTGCCTGGAGAGCCTCGGACTGACCAGGAGGTGGTATATTTGGGATTCGGGGGGAAATGCGGGAGGCTGTTGGCGGATGTCAGCCTCTCATATAAGCAAACATTCTTATTTCTTATTTCTTGATTCTCAAGCAACTCAAGATACAGAGTCAGCAATGCTTCCTTTGTTTTCTGCAAAGCCAAATACTTTTTAGGAAATATATATATTTTACTTTCGCAAGAAAAATAACAGGTCCTCAGGTCATGTTATTGCCCAACAACGTAGAAAGGCCCACTGAGCTACATCCACTATATTTGTTATTAGTCACAGATACCGGGTGAACAGTTATGCCCAGAGCTGTGAATCCCTTACAGGTTTTCTCGTGGGGACAAACCACTCATTGATTCTGCCCCCCCCCCAACTGATTCTTAAAGGAAGGTCCTTATTCCTTGTCATGGCTGACTAGTGACCTCCACTAGGCCTAGCTATGGTCTTAGTTGACTCAAGCCCCTGACAGCAGTTTAACCCTGAGCTGGTTACCACTACCCCCCACCCCCGCCCACTCCACCCTACTGCCCGTCAGCTAACTGTCCTTGTTTAAACTTAGGTGTTGGAGACTTACGTGATCATCAGCTTTGTGTCTGATGAAAACCCACCCGCTGAGGGCTAGCTCTCTCTTTTATTTATCCGTGGCTGGGAAAACAATTGCTAAGTGTGGAATCAGTTTCCCGTTAGGCCACATAGATGACACTGGAGTGGCAGAAGAGCAAAAAGCCCACAGACGTGGCTGAGGTGGAACAACAAGGAAGCAAAGCTTCTCCATTACCTGCCTGTGAAAATATTCCACTCCTCTTGGTGATTACTCAGCATGCATGCTATATAGACACACATATTATCTCTGCATTTTTTTTTATAATAGAGTGACTAATAATGCCCTCCAGGGATAAACTGGAGAGTCAAGCTGCTCAGAAATTTCAGGCACAGAACTGCCAGGAAACTATTTACTTCTAACAAAACACGTTACAGGGATTCTGAGTGTACATGGGGTTTGAGCCATGTTATGATTTTCACAGATAGAGCCCCACAAAGTGTTCCGCCCAGTGTGCACTTTATCTGCCTCTGATGAACAGAGGTTGAGTCAATCCCTATGAGTGTTGAAATCACAGCAAATACGTTAAATGGCTTAACCTCAGACACCACCATTGTCTGAAATAAACAGACCATAAAAATGCATAATTCCTCCAGCAAGACTGCACAGTTTATACCGTTTTTCAATTTAGTTTCTCTTTGTTCCTTCAGTTTAAATACTACTTTCTCCTTTGGTTCTCTAATCAGGCTTCATTCCATGGTTACTTACAGGTATCAATAAATAAAAATTCAAGTGGAAACTGGCTCATAGACCAAAATGAAGATATATAAAATGTCATATTATCTTGTGGAGAACAAGTCAGACTTACTGAATATGATGAGTACAGTTTCTGGAAGGCACCTCTCCCATTGTTAGTATTAGTAGTGTGGTAGAAACAGGGGTAAGAGTGACAGCAATGAAGTAGTGGTAGGAATGATATTGTGTGTTCCTACAGGACATAACAACCTTCAAAATATTTGTAAGTGTATTGTTTCCCTTGACCTTCAAAATAATCATATACGGTAGGCAGTCTGGTGTTCTTATTCCTATGTATTAGATGAGCAAACTAAATTCCAGAGATATTAAGCAATCCCCCCCAGCTCAGAATAATTAGGTTCTCTACCTACCAGTGTAGGTTCCCCTTTATGAATTAGTAAGACATATTATAAAGCAAGAATACTGATGATCAAGAAAGAAGCGAAAACCACATATCCCCAGAACTTTCCTTGTAAGAAGAGTTTGGAGGTAGCTCCCTTGGCATGAAGGTTATTAGGAGCCAAATGAGAATTTCTGGGTTCAGTAAAATATGTCCATCTGGGGGGGGGGTGAAGGGAACTTCAAAAATGCAACCTGTGAGATGAAATATAATTGGATATTTGTCCCCAAATGCTTCAAATCAGGGAAGTAAAGGGCTGATATGGCTTGAGACAGTTTAAAACCATACCATCCCTAAAGAAGGATCCTGCTCACCTATATTTTATAGCCTTAGCTGCCGAGTTTATGTGAACTATTTCTCCCACTTTCCCATCTAAAATATTACTATGAGACAGGAATGCTGAAATATATGACTATTTGGAGGAAGCTGAGTTCTAGAGGATTTGGAGCTCATGCACATGAAAATCGCTTAATGGTGAACACATGAATGAGGAGGGTCAGGATGATTGATGTCTGTCACTGACTATTAAGGCATGCTTCATCCAGGAAGGAAGTCCTTTGCAGCCATAAGTCTCCCTGCCACCTGTGATCACTTGCTCTGAATCTATGTGACTCTCCAGGTATCAGCTCAGCACAGGCCTCCTGTGGAAGACTCTGAAGCCCTCTGGGGAAGGCGGGGTCTGCCTGGTGTTGGACCTATGACAACCTTCTCTCCACCTCTATGAATCAGGACTGTCGGGTGAATGACTTTGGCAGCCAGGGGATCCTGCTCAGTAGAAGTTCAACCATGTTAGCAAATCTGAAAAGTCACCAATAAAACTATACACAATGGTTGGGTGCAGGTACCCAAGCAGCCTAACCTTACTGACCACAGTTATCTTTAGTTGAATTATGTGCCCTTCCATAAGATGCAGTCTGATATTATCAAGTGAACAAACCTTAAACATGCCGAAGTGAATGGAGCAGTACAGAAGAGTTAAAAACAAGGGGAAACTGATGATCATCCAGATTCGAATGATTAAACACCAACTTGCGTCTAGAAGAGGGCCACGCAGTCCCTGGAAGAGGAAAAAATAAAGAATGCGAAGTCATAAGAGCGAGGAGTATTTACCACCACTAAGAATATTAATAAGAATCCACATCCCTGGTTACGTAGGAATTCAGGAAATTTTCTTTGCTTTATCTTCACTGAAAGCCACCTGACGTAAATCCCAGAACTGCTGAGAAACACACTTGCCAAACCTTTGCAACAGCTTGGGACTCTGTTATATAAACTTTGGGAGCCCATTAAACTTGAAATAGAAAGCCCTTTGCAAATAGATGTTCTTATCTGTTTTGGCATATTCATCCCTCGTTGGAGAGTTGTGATTCAAAGAACACTAAATAATAATATAGTTTTAAAAAAGCAGTTGAGAAAACATAGCACTTCAAAAGGCTTAACTCTGGAAGCATTTCAAACACGAGGTTTTAGGATTACCAGCGTGGTTTCCTAATCTCCTAATTATTTGAGAATGAGGGCACTTTCATGTATCACTCTTTTTAGAATCACTGGAAATATCAATTAAACATGACAAATTAAGAGAATTTCCCTTGAGATGTGGGAACGTATTATACATGATGGCCTTTTGCTAGTGGTTAACAATTTGCCTTTAATCAATCCAGAGAAGTTTTATAAATTCAAGAAATTTGACAGCAATAATTTAGGGTTCATTTAAGCATTTGTATCCTATAATCATCAAAATTGCATTTATCTCTTTTTTAATGTTTACTTAGAGAGAGAGAGAGAAAGAGAGAGACAGCAAGCAGGGGAGGAGCAGAGATAGAGGGAGAAAGAGAGAGGGAGAGAAACCTAAGCAGACTCCATGCTTTCAGCGCAGAGCCTAATGCTGGGCTCAATCTCACGAACCATGAGACTATGACCTAAACTGATACCAAGAGTCAGACCCTTAGCCAACTGAGCCATCTCGGTGCCCCATGCATTCATCTTGGAAAAATTATAATTTCCATGTATAAGCCATGTTTACCAAAGTGACCAACAAAATCTCTCAAATTTCCATAGGGAACTTCCAGTTTTCTCCTGTTTCTGCTCTGGCCATGGTTACCCAGTCTCACCGTTCATGAAGCTATAAGAAGACGTCTTACCACAGTCACCAGCAGCCACAGGCAAAACATTTATCACCAGATGCCACCTCTGTCATTGGGTATCTCTGCAACCAGATGTGTACTTGAGCCCTGGATAGGCTGCAGTGTGACTCTGTTCCTCAAGGGCAAGGAAGCCATGGATGCTCTGGGTAGGGCTGGGGTAAACTTTATTTTCTCCTTTTCTGTAACACATTGGTAGAGGGTATCAAAAACTACTGCTGTGATATCAGTGAACATTGCTTTATTACCTTTCATTAAGAGTAACATCTCTCACAAGAATATAGGATATATATATTTTAAAGGAAATAAACTACACAAAATTGCAACTGATAGACTAGACTTTTCTGGTCGTTGGAATGTTTTTGTTAGGCCAAACTTCTGTTCTTAACTTTTCTAATGACTCGATTAAAGTATAAGTGACATCTAATAAACTGAACTAACTCAAAATACACAATTTGATAACGTTCTGAAATATGCATATATGTACCCATGAAACTATCAGCACAATCAAGAAAACAACGTATCCATTGCCCACAGAAGTTTCTTTGTGTCCATTCATCGCCCTCTTCCACTTTTCCCCATCCTGCCTTTCCACATCTCCAGGTGACCACTGAGATGCCTTTTATCATTAGAGAGGCATTTGCATTTCTAGGAAATTATGGAAATTGATTCCTACAGTGCAGAATCTTTTGTCTGGCTTCTTTCACTCAGTGTAATTATTTTGTGACTAACCCATATTTTTTGTGTGTATAAATAGTCTATTCCTTTATTTTGCTGAGTAGTATCCCATTGTACTGCAGCACATTCATCTGTGGATGGATGCTTGAGCTGGCATAATTTCTAGCTACTAAAAAATAAAGACTTGTATGAACATTCATATACAAGTCTTTGTATGAACTGTAACTTTTATCGAATAAATATCTAGGAGTCGAAGGACTGGGTCATGTGATAGGTACATGTTTAACTTCTAAAGAAACTACCGGTTTTCTGAAGTGATTGCACCATTTTCCTTCCCTCTAGATTTCCTATACTCCCTCACCAAAACTTGGTGTAGTCAGACTTTTCTAATTTTAACCATCCAATAGGTGTATAGTGGTTTTAATTTTCATATGGCTAATAGTTGATGATGTTGAGCAACTTCACATGTTTGTCATCCATACATGTCTCCTTGGTGAGATCTCTTCAAATATTTTGCCCATGGTTCTAACTTTTAAAAAACTTTCTATATATTGAGTTTTGAGAGTCTTTTGTGTTCTATACACACATCTTTTCAGATATATGATTTGCAAGCATTTTACTCTAATCTGTGGCTTTGCTTTCATTATCTAAATAATGTCTTTTAAGGAGCAGAAGTTTTGGATTTTGAGGAGACCTACATAGTTTATCATTTTTTTTCTTTATCTTTTTTTTTTGTTTCATCTCTAGGAAATCCTTCCTCACCCAAGGTCACAAAGTTTTCATCCTATGCTTTCATGTAGAAATTTTTATAAATTTATCTTCTGATCTATTTTGAGTTAATTTTTTATATGGCATAAGGAAAAAATTTCATCCTTCCACATATGGCTATCTCTGCTCCATACCCATGCACTACATGCCTCCAGTGGTATTGTCAAAAGACTATCCTTTCTCTACCAAATTGGCTTTCCGTCTTTCCTGAAAATCAGTGGTCCCTATATGTGTTCCTATATGTGTGGATCTATTTCTATTATCTATATTCTGTTCAACTGACCTATCATATCTGACTCTTGGTTATAATAGATTCTTTCCCTGATTTCTTTTCAGTTGCTCGTGTAAATAGACTCCTAGTAACATAGATTCACCATTTTACTACTCATATCTAGGTATATTTTATAATGCATTTTATAAATCAATAGAACTGAGGCTCAAACGAGGGTAACTGCTAAAAGACATTTTAAAAATGTTGTGATATAAAAACAATGTTTTCTACAGCCATCTAAACTCAATCAAATTCATGTGACCCTGTTCCAAAAAGTTAGTTTCCATGTGCATGGGGCTATAGAATGTGGGGAGTACGGAAGGGGTATATGTGGTCTATCCTAAAAAACATTATAGGGTGCAGAGGAAAAAAGGATAGAAAATAAGAATATTCAAATACTAAATGTTAAAATATTCCTACCAGTGTTTATAAAATTTACATTGAGATAAATAAGCAAATGATTATAAGAGACAAAAATTTAGAGAATATTTCAAAGTACTTTTTTTTGCCAAATGTACTAAGACAGTAGGAGTAACAGAGAAGAGTTTTCTGGAACCAACTTGTGCTTCTTTTTTCATCCCTATAGGGTGATTAGTTGTATTTTATTCAGCGTATTGTACATGTGGGTGTGAATAAGATGGATCTTCTCTCAAAAAGAGAAATGAGTCAAGAATATATGTTGTCAACTTGTCTGAAACAGTTTTCATGTTCTGACTCATTTTTCTTTGTATTGGTATTTGAAGAGATTTTGTTTTTTTAATTTGACTATTATAAAAACCTCAATAACTTCACTGAAATCCCATGAAAATAATATAAACAACTGTAATGGAAATTGAAAAGATGATAATAGCAATCAGTACTGTATTATTTCTTGTCAGTATTTTTTTAATCACTTGGAACAGTGAAAAAAACCTGTATTAATTTGACTTTTTGACCTTTAGTCTTCACTTTAGTGGAAGAAGTTCTTTTGAGAAGCAATTTCTTCCTTTTGCTTATTATATCTTTGTCCTTCAAAACAATTAATGACTATCCTTTGATAGGATCATCTTCGAGTTGTGCCAAAGGAGGACAGTTGTGCCAACTATGTGCAGACCTATGGGTTCAGAAAAATTATAAAGCTTGATGTTAGAATCTTGTGGAGTGTAGACTCATTTCTCAGAGAGAAATGGAAATATTAATGCATTTACATTGTTTAAAATAAACTGACACAGGTATATGGATAGCATCTTCTATTCTAGGCACAGTTGGGTTGTTGGCTGGGGGGACGCTGGTGAACAAGAGCTATAAAAAAGTTCTTGTCTATGGGGCGCCTGGGTGGCTTAGTCGGTTGAGCGTCCGACTTTCGCTTAGGTCATGATCTCGCAGTTCATGGGTTCGAGCCCCGCGTCGGGCTCTGTGCTGACTGCCAGCTCAGAGCCTGGAGCCTGTTTCCGAGTCTGTGTCTCCCTCTCTCTCTGACCCTCCCCTGCTCGTGCTGTCTCTCTCTCTCTCCTAGAAATTAAAAAAAAAAAAAAAGTTCTTGACTATAAGACACTTACAATTTAATTGGGAAGATGATACTCATTGACTCAATGAGGATAAGCTTGATGCAGGTAGTCTAACAGTCATACTTGGATAAACTTTTGCTATAGAAAAGATCAGCAGCCAATTCTATTAAAATCTTTAATTAGATGTCTAATAAACCTGAATATCAGGCTCAGATTCCACTTTAGAAATATTTCCAGGGGTGCTAACAGCCAACAATTTAATATGATTCCTAAAGACCTGACCCAACAGACCAGATTTCTTGAGTTTAACAAGTATATTGTCCTTCTTTAAGAAAGCTTACTCTTTGAACCATGTATGCTAAGTTCTAAGAGAATTAGATAGATAATAAGTGACATTTAAGTTCAGAGGTGGGAGAAAAAAGAGGCTCAGCTTAAGTGAAATATTTTGTTGAATTATTCAAAGTGGTAAACACTAACGAGCACATTAGTCAGACTCAGAAAAAGTTGAGAAATAAGATGAATGTCTAAAGATGGAGGTCAAAAATGCCATGCAGATTTAAGGGCACACACCTAGGATGAAAACAAAAAGGTTGAAAAAGACATTCCAAAAAGAGAACATGCAGAGGGGTGGGGTGGGGTGGTAGTGCGGGCATACTTGTACCAGACAAAATAGACTTGAATCAAAAACTGTCACAAAGAATACAATG